TCATACTCTACACGACCTACTTGAGAGATTTTTGGCCATTCATTGTTAGAATTTGTAACTTGGTGATGTTTGACTTAATATGGTGAAAAGAGAAGTTTATCCTCAAAATAAAAAGAATTCGTGAATACGGGAAGAGCAATCATTATTATCGATTAAAAGAAGCTTTTCACACCAACATATTGTCTCCCGGACATATAAATGCACCATAATTGTGTATGTGGATTATAAATACAATAATAATAACATACAATTTGAATTTTATTAACATAAGTAGCCAGTGTTTTGAGTTCCAGCTGGAGATTACAAAGTAGATATTTAGCAGTAATACTTGAAAAATAGAAAAAGTAGTGCCCAACTTACGTACCACACTTTTCATATCTAATCTGTGGCCTGAACAGACAGGAAAAACATGCAGCGATAAATTCAATAGAGGACCATATGAAAGTTATGGGTAAAGTTTCTAAAAGTTATATGACGTTATGACATTATGGGTAAAGAAATTTTAAAACAATGGATGATTTTAAAAAAGAAGCTTGTTGAAACTGGTAGGAGGAGTTTTCAAGAAAACGCTTTAATTAAAGCAAGATCGTTTGTCAAAATTATCCAAGAACCTGCTTTAGGCGAAGATTGTGTGTAGTCATTGCTCAATAAATGACCTGGTTTATAGTAAGCGAGCCAAAGGAGACTTAACTGATAAAATAAATTATTCAATTAACTGTTCTTTGTATGTTGTTCCGTTGAGAAAGTTTTTTTTCTTCTGTAAAAGAAGTAGTTTCAAAGAAAATTATTGATAACATGACTCCGGTTTGTCCCAATTTTTCATTTTCCTTCTTTGAAAAAGAAATTTTGCACAACTTACTATGAGAGAAGCAATAAAATTAGTCCTTGCGTTCAATGTTGTATCGGTTCTATAGAAAATGCCAACAACTCTGATAAAATCCAAATTGAGTGGAAGGTGAGGTTGAGAAGATAAGTTGAAGGTTTGGCGGAGGAAAAGGAGGAACTAGAAAGTTGGGGTAGCACAAGATAAAAAGCATGAATGTTGAGAGGAAATTATTCGCAGTAAAATACATTTGATAAGGGTAGGAAAAAAGAGGGCGAATGGAGGAACTGGTAATCAATGATAATAATAACTTCTCTGCGTTAGATTTATCTTTCTACCGTCATTTGGTTAACTTTATGCTATTTTGTTGTCAACAGTGGTATTGTTATTATATATCTTTTAATGATATTTCCTTATTGTTGTTATTGTGGAAATTACATCTTTTTTAGAAATTAAAGGAATGTTTTATATAACGCACAAAACAAAATTATATATATATATTTCATTCTAGTCAAATAAAAATAAAATTCAATTAACTGTATTTATATTGGGATTATTACTGCATTAAATAGTAATATATAGTAAAACAAATAAAAATATTTTAGCTTATCTATTTGCATCTTTATATCTTGATTTTCGTCATTTCTGATTCTTTCATTTCAACCATTGATTTCATTTCTTCCTTTAGAGTTTCTTTCTTTAGAGTTTCTTTCATTTCGACCATTGATTTGCACATTTCCCTGATTATTTCCTTTTGAGTTTCATCCGTTTGACTTCCATCTATTATTTACGTAGGCAACGAGACATTGATTTTTTCATCCCCTCGATTATTTGCCTTTAGCCCCTTCATCTGTAAATTCGCGTAGGAAATATTGAGTTGTTGTTGTTGAAGTAGCCAGAAAGTCACCAGGTGCTGGTTTCTCCTCTGTAAAGAGGGACACACTCTTTGTTAAAGAGAAAACCAATATGAATAAATGTGCATGCTTTAACAAAGTAAAAATTGGTTGGCCATTTTAACACAATAAATAATGTTTGCTGAATATTAGGAGATAAAACCATTCAAGACATAATATATAAAAAATCAAACAAGTATTTGTTCCGATCTTTTTGAGCCACAACACCCCATAAGACAAAATAGTATAAAGAAAGTGAATATTGTAGCTAACAATATCACAAATAATGTTATACTAATTGGATCAAAAAGATGTCTAGTTGTAATGATAACGATCTAGAATGTTGGAATGACTATAGCCGGGAATAACATCAAGAATACAAAGATGTAACCAAAAAAACTGGAATAATCACCAAGTTTTTATTCTTAATTATCGCGTATACTGCACAAGTTACATGCAAAACCATGTTTACAAATGAAATCATCACAGGTAAAAGAAACCACCAGCGGAATCACCTAAGTGACTGTGTTGTATATATAATATGTCGTCCAGTATTTTTGATGCACTCAGTTCTCCCTGAAACATTGATAGAATGCTAGAAAGAATGTGTTAAGCATTGTATCATACACATCCTGTTCAGGTTTATACTCTTTGTCGACAATTGATGCAATCACAAGTGGAAGGAGTGAAAATAAAGTGACTTTCCACAAGATAAATTTAAAGTAACTTGATTTCATTTGCTTGCTTTGGTTCATATCGAATAATATGATAAAACATAGAACCTATTTTATTGATATTTATAGACAATGTATAAATATTAATATTAATAAATCAGGGAATTTATGCACTTTGTCATTTTTGTAAAACAATACTAAGGTAGAAGTAGTCCCAAAAGGGCCTTGTGCAACGAATTTATTCTAAAAAAAATGGTAAACCTACAATCGAATTGAATCACAATCTTGTTGACAATGACGAAAACATTTAATTTACCTCAATAAAAAATCAATATAACATTTGTAAACATTTTCACAATGTGAACTTTGTAAAGTTAGGTTGGTAAAAACGCTTGAATCAGCGCAATAGAACGTCGCTTTGAGAACAAACGTAAAAGTACGTATCAACAACCACTTTACCAAACAACATTAAGTTTTGAAGAATAATTTTTAGAACTTTAAATTCATGCGCATGGAATTCTAATCAGCCAACCAGGATTTTTTATTCAAATATCCACCTCCAACAGACGATGGATTTGATGTGTACTATTTAATATTTTTTGTAGTTGGTAAAATTGTGTAATGAATTATGAAATAAATCTTTCAATTATGAAAACGTTTAGGTAATCTAAAATTCTACAAGAATAAATAATGGTTGGTCATATATGAAGCTTGCAACACTCATCTTACATTTACCAATCTCACTTAACCTAAAGTCGATTTTAATTGAAAAAAGAAGTTCCTATGACAAGTAGTTCGTTTTTGGTTGTTTTGAATACAGAAACCTAAAGTATGTCATCATGTAAAAGTAACTCTCTCACTGTTTGATTAAGCATCACCGTACGTATATATGAATGAAATCAGAATAACTCCATCAAAAATATCGTTTATTTAGAAGTTTGGTGTTTGTAAATTTGAAAATTAATGATTTGGGAATATCCCCGAATATACTATATTAACATACTAAAATACCACTAATTCAATATTAAGGGTAACTGTAACAAAAAAATTATGTTCTAAGGTTAGTTTCTATATAACGAACGTTTAAAACAGGACCCCGCAAACTATATAGATAGGTTACATACAAAAATCACGGTTTGATATAGGTTTGACCCACACTGTGATTGGCTTATTGGAGACAATCTTTCCAAATTTGATTGGGTGTTGGTTAATAAGTTTTGGAGAGGTTCACAAAAAACTATTTTATAGAAATTTAATAGTCATGAAGAATTTTATGTAGCTGGGATTCAGCAAAAACTAAAAGGTATTTTATTAGTGATTGTTTTATATTTCTGACTTTATATTGATTAAAGTTCATTAACGATTATTATGAATATCCATCAATCAGTAGTTGTTATAGCAACATTAAACAATAATATTAATAGCAACAAATAGCAAACGACGACAACGAATCATCTTTTTTGAGGATGATAATAAAGATTAAGATCCAGTTTGTATAGGAGTTCAAAGTGACAAGATCTATGAAGCTTGCAAAATATACCAACGAACGTTTTATCAATTATTCAATAGTTTGTGTAGGATCAAAGTAAGTGTTAAGGATAAGATCTATGAACTTTGCAAAATATTCTAACGAGCGTTTTATCAATTATTCAATATTTTGTGTAGGAGTGACCGAAGTAAGCATCAAGGACAAGATCTATGAACAAAATATGCTAACAAACGTTTTATCAATTATTCAATAGTTTGTATAAGCATTAAGGACAAGATTTATGAATATTGCAAAGCAATGAACGTTTTATCAATCATTCATTTATTGATGTATATATATAAATTTTTCTTTTATTTTAACTTATATTTAATAACATCACTATGATAAATAATTATTGTTGCTTGTTTACCATCCTAAACATTATTTATGTATATACTGTAGGCAAAGAAAAATTTTAATATCTATTTATTTATTATATTTACATAAAGACATACCCAAGTGGTCAAACTCTGCAAATATTCATAATAATATAATATTTGGACATTTATTTCTACTTATGCTTGGAATTGGATGCGTCAAACAAAATTTTACATATATGGATATAAAGGCAAAATTTGACTTTAAGGGTCAGATTATTTTCGGTTTTATTAACAACCTGCTTTAATAACTTGATACATATGATAAAGAAGTTATATATCAAATCTGGCGGTGGTTGCTACACAGCAAGGGTATTAAATGGGGATTAGAAGTCATTTGATTGTAAAATTTACTATTACTATGATGTCAGATCATCAAAAATTTACTATTACTATGTTGATCTGTGTGACATGTCCTGTGACTATCTATATAGTTTGTGGGGGTTCTCTTAAAACAGTAAAGTCAACATTTAAACCTGAATATTTACTTGTTTCTTGATGTCAATTATTACCATCAATGTTTAAATTGGACAGATAATAATATATTTTGGTTTAAATCAATTTCATAAACTTGATTTTAAATAAATTGATCAAAAATGGGATAAATAGGATGTGCAATGACAGGATGATCCATACAAAATATTCATTTTTTGTTAACTATCAATTATTAATAATTTACATAAAAAAGTTAAAAATATTACCAAAATGTTGTTTATTGGCAGTGGAAATGACTTTTTGACTTTGATTGTTTCACTTCTTTACCTTGCATACGTAAGTAACATTATTATTATTCATAAAAGTTGATGGAATGAGTTGATTATATTTTATGTATATTAATATATTCATTATGAATATAGTTTGCTCTTATAATTGTTGTAACTGTAGAAGTTTTTCAAAGTGAAGAATCTTTTGGAATTAAAATCTTATTGGTCATCGCTGCTATTTTTATCCCACTTGGAGCAGTGTTGGCTTATTGGTAAGTATAATTAATTTATTTATTTATTTATTTATTATTATTATTATTATTATTAGTATAATAATATGATATGCGAGAGAGAATCTCTAATTGTCATATTTCCATTGATTTAGGTTCTTATTAAAACGTCGCCGTGACAGAGAACTTCAATATCAAACGATTCCTTAAATATATTTCTTCGAATATCTATAATTTTAGATCAATATGTAAAATTTTAAATCAATATTAATTAAAAGAGAAATATTAAATTAATTATTATTATTAATTATTACATTAATTTACAAACCATATTACATCTATGCAACATTAACCAGGCGGTAATATCATCATTGGTTGAAAATCAGATGAAACATTAAATTTTTTTAAATAATAATTAGCGCTTTACTATTATTATTTACAATAATACACAACTTTAGGTATAAATTGCTCACATAAATGTTCTGATCAATAACATTTCTCTCCCACAACAATTGTTTTATATAGTATAATCAAGAACTGCCCATAGTGGTTGGTACCTGTAAATTATAAGATTATAATCTTTATTTATTTATTCAATTCATGTTCCTCATTATATACCAAATCTTCTGGTTGTCTTCTAGCTTGTGCATCATCTTGACTACGTAAAACAATAGTCATTCTCCTTGGATCAACTACTTCAGTACAACTAATAATTATTGAAATTTCTTGCATCTAAAATACCACTAACCTTACCCAATACATCAGGTTCATTTTGTACCAAACAATTTAATATATGTCGTTTTGGAGATGATAATGATGGAGTTGTTGATGTATTATCTATCAATTATTTTGATACATGACAAATAAAAAGTTTATATTTATAAATGTTTATAATAATAATAATAAATAATAATAATAATAGAAGCTTTGGCTGCCATACCTACAAAACAAAATTCTTACTCTTCCATGTATGCGGTATTCATAATTGTTAATTGAAGCCAAAATTATCTTTATTTCTAAGATTCAAACTCTGCATGCATTTGTTAATTAATATTCTATAGTTTTATCTATATGAGTTGCTAATATACAACTTGATGTCTTCAAATAATCGCTCAACTTTATTTTCCTGGATCCATAAGCATTTAATTATTAATTAACTAATGCGAACATCGAGTAGACACAACATATCTTCCTATATATTAGGGTGGCCTCTTTTAACATCGATCCTGATTTTACCAAATAACTTTCAACTAACACTTTTAACAGTTGGCTGGATATTTCCATTCCGATATGCTTAACGAAAGAATTACTTGGTGTAATCGAGCCCATACGAGCTAAGCAACTTATGGTTTAGCCAATTCAAAATAAATCAAAATCCCATGATATTTTAAAAGATTGTTTTTTGAAAATAACTACCACTTATATTATTACTCTCCATGATGTCACAAGATTCATATAAACCGATCTTTTTTATATTCACCATGACCATCGAGCAACTTTGCTATAATATACACACATGTGTATTACAGGGACCAGAGATTTCTAACGATATTATCAATATGTCAGTAAACTAAATAAATGCATCGCCTAAAATTTGCAACATGACTATCATATTATGTTTTTTGACGTAATTACCATAGAATTGAATTCGCAATATACAAATCTATGTCTGTTAAAATAATCATCAACTGTCTCTTTTCCCATAAGCATTCATCCCGTCCATTCATTCATTCATATCCTTTCATTATTCTTGTTTGGGTATATTTTTATTAAATCAATATTTAATATCCAGTGTATTCACTAATTTATATATTTTATAAAACAGTCAAAACTCGTTGCAATGTACAATGGTAAAAACTCATTACGGCGGACTTTTTTTGTTTTCGTTTATAATATTTTTATAATCAATAACTGTCTCTTGTTACAGCGGGAAAAAATAAAAAATAAAAAATAAACATATGGAACCAAAGCTCCCCACCCACTTTGAGTGTATTTAAAAAATAAAAATAAATAATAAATAATTCTCTTTTATCTGCGAATTCTGGTAATTAATAATCAATTTCATTAACCCGCAACTTCACAGTAGGATCAGGTCTAAGAGTAATAATGTTTAATTTACTTGTAACTTTGAAACCTTCGACTTCATGGAACTGGAAGTTTCTTAATAAAATGCACAAGACAACTTTCACTTCATTTAATGCAAGCTTACTACCAATACATGATCTTGGTCCAGTTGAAAATGGAAGATAATTGTAATGAGAAAGACCCTTAACCTTTTCTGTAAACCAACGTGATGGATTAAATTCTTCAACATCATCACCCCAAATTGATGCCAAATGGTGAATTTGATAAATTGGCACGAAAATTGGTGTGTCCTAAATTAATTTATTACTATTAGTAATATTATAAAGATAATAACAGGATGCATAAATAAAACAATACCTTTGGAACAAGATATCCACCAATCATGACATCTTCTTTTGTTGTACGATTCAAAAGTGAAACTTTTATAATATAAAATATATATAATAAATGCATTTATAGTTATATCATAACAATATTTTCTTCTTCTTCTTATTCATTATAATAATATACCTGGAGGGGCAATTCTAAGAGTTTCTTTACAAACTGCATTTAAATATTCCATGGAATTGATTTGATCAAAATTTGGCTCAAAATCTTTATCAGGAAATTCTTTAACAATCTCTTTTCTGAGTTTATCTTGAATTTCTTGATCTTTGGACAAATAATACAATGCCCAAGCCATTATAACACCAGTTGTCTCATATCCTGCAACCAAAAATGTCATAATCTTGAAAAATTTTTTTAGTTAAAAAATAATAATGATAGTTATAAAAAAATCATTTCCTTCATTTTCTTTGTAATAACAACTACCTGATTTCTTATTTCTTCCAAACTCATTTGTTCATTTTTATCTATTTCCTGTCCATAACTAGCCTTCACCAAAATACTTACCAAGTCATTGCTATCCAATTTACCTTTTTTCAATTCATCAAATTTATCTTGAACCAATTTCCTTGTAATTTTTTCAATTTCAATTGAAGCACTTTCGATATCTTGATTTATTTTTAATGGCAGCAATCTCAATATGGGTAAAACAAATGATAATAAAATATACACTAACCCATATTTGTTATCCAAAAGAGTGTTTACTGTGTCTGCAAGCCTTGATGTTCTTGTCAAAGAATTTATTTCAGAATCAAACCCTAAATAACAAATAATTAATTGTTATAAAGATTAAACACACTGGTGATTGATTTTAATTACATTATTTTTTTTCTGTTCAATCATATTATAGAACCACTTACCAACTATGCCAATAACATCCAAAGATACTCTTCCCATATAATGACCAACATCAATTATTGCACTTTTTTTATCAATATCATTATTAAAATTTTGACTGTTCTTTATTTCATATTTCCATATATCTTTCAATGTATTAGAAACCCTTGTAAATGCTGGTATCATATCCTAAATAATATTAATATTAGTGTAACTAGTACAAATTTAGAAATTTGATTGGATAATAATGTTACACCCAGAAATTTACCCTAATACTATTATTATTATGACCGAATGACGGATTCATCAGTTTACGTTGTCTCTTGTGTACGTCACCATCTACCGCCAAAATGCCTTCTCCAAGAATCCTGTTTAAAAATCCTAGAAATCCTTTCCTTTTACCAAATTTAGCATACGCATCACTAACAAGTACTTTTTGAATATTTTTTTCGTCGAGAATAAAAACTTTTGGTACATTTAATAATCCATAGCACCTGTATACGGTGCCATATTTTTCTGCCCACTCTACTCCACTCTTATTAAATTAAATATAAATAATACAGAGGTCAAATTTTTTATAAACATAGTTATATGTATAAATCATGCGCTCACCTCTGGTTTAACAATTTTCAACAAATTTCCCAACAGAAAATGGTCGGGACGAGGACCAGGAATTTTAGATAAAGGGGATAAATATAATGGATAAACTATCCATTTATAAATATAATAGCCGACGAGGGATACCGCGACAACTAAACACACAGAGGTGCTTTCAATTATAGCCATTTATTATTATCGTTTTTGTTGTTGTTGTTGTTACGATTATTTTGTAAAATAATAATAAATTATTATTATAATTATTGGATTAAGTCTGAAACATTCGCTATTTATTTAAAAAAAATTTTTTGCAAGGAAAAAATTTCAGATTGTTTTTTTCTAGATTTGGATAATTCAAACCACCAGGCGCAAGATTAGCCTTGAAATCAACCAATTGTAATATTTCATTGTTTTCTGTGCTATCATAGTTTTTCCAATCCTTCTTTATAAACTTGATGATAAACTTTCGTACAGGCATAGATAGCCTTCTTTATATGGATTGTCTATTGATCAGGTAAAATTATAAGAGAACATGTTACGCAGATCAATAGGATAGGTGTTGTACAAACTGAATGTTCATTCCTTTTATATATATTAATTCAATCAATTCGATAATTTGGTGAACAATAAATTCATTATTATATTCTATCAAATTATCAAATTAGGTTGTTCTTTTTGAGTTTATTGTATTTCCAGCTTGACTAAATAGTTTCTCGCTCGGAATGGAAGTTATAGGTGAACGCAAGTATTTAATAGCAAACTTTGAAAAAACAGAAAATCTATTTTTATTATGTTTCCGCACAAATGGATCATTTTTCCATATCCAACTTGACTTTTTAGAACCACCCTTTACTTTGATTTTATTCAAAATACGAACAGCAGAAAACTCATCCATCTCATTATTGTATTATTGCTTTCTTCCATTATAGTGACTGATAGCTCTTCTTCCATTTTTAGATGAACGGAAGTGAAATAAATAATCAATTAAAAATGAACAGAGAATTTATTCGGACATGAAATTTCATTTCAATCCAGCTACGCGAGATATTGATCAATTATCCACACCGAATATTCACTTTAAACTGATTATATTTGGTCAATCAATGAAAAATCAAACATCCAAATATTTATTATTCAATGAATATTATTCATTTGGGTGTACGCCGATCGAATACTCAGTATCACATACCAAATTAGGAAGGTTAAAATTATTATGGCCATTTCGGACATGTGACCTATTCTCTTTCGGTTCTTATTAATATTTTATATTCGAATTTTTATTTATATTGTTTTTTTCATGTGAATTGATTTTAGAAGAAAAGATTAATGTCGCCTTTTGACCAAGTGAAATAACAGTCAATCAACTGTTTAATTAAGTATTATTCGTAATACAAACTGTTGTTCGAATTATTCGAATTATTCATTTTATTCGAATTATTCGCTGTTTTATATATTTGTTTTATTTGAATTACTCGCTTTATTCGATTTATTTGTTTTATTAGAACTACTCGTTTTATTCATTTTATTCGAATTACTCGTTTTATTCAAGTTATTCGTTGTTTTATTCTAGTTACTCGTTTTATTCAAGTTATTCGAATTACAAATAAAATCGTTGTGCTCATGATATCATGAAGATGATGATCATTGCTGATTTGGCATGTAGTACCGAATATTACATAATATGAACGATATAAGTTGTGATATTGCCAATCTGTTCACTGTGCTGGTATGTCCATGTGATTCAAATATAATCATGGTTGGTGTTGTCCCTGAAACAAAGAAGGAACAATATTTTTCAATCTGCTAGCCATATATAGAACATGACATTTGCCGAATTTACATTGTATTTTTGGTGAATGTTCATGATGAACTTATCAGTTTCTCACTAGTTCTCAGAAAGTTACACTCCCATGATCTCTTCGACAAAAGTACTCTTAAATCATGATTCCAATTCCGTTCATTCCAAATATACCAATAGAAGCACTTTGTGTTTCATGTAGAGTGCATTTATATGTGGACACAAAGTTTCAAAAGTGGGTTGATTTTAGTCATGTGGATTAAGAAAAGTGGATTTTAAAATCTAAAAACGTTTGTTTGCTAAAGAACTTTACAAACACCCAATTTAAAGAAAATGCCCAATCACATTCATCTATTCTGCTGGTACAGAAGTTAATTCTCATACAAAAGGACATGATTGAAGATATTGTAGCCACACTTGAATGAAATACATGATGGGTTGATACACTTAACTGCACCATGTACTTTGACACTAATTATCTTGCCATTGGTAATTCTATGGGATTGTCCAAACCTAGTCTGTTAGAAACACCATACACAAATTTGTGAGGATTCATTAGTCATTTCAGCAGTGCACTATAAAACCTCGGGATCCTCATTCAACAACTGCCATTATTACTGCTGGTACACCCAGACCGCTCTCTCAAGAATCTATACACCTACACAACCAACACCAGTCAATATATATTGGACAACACTCTTTCATTATCAAAAAGATCCAGTGGAAGTCTATTGTCAGGGAGATTTATATATATTTTTCCATTGCTCTTATTCATAATGTAATAATAATATTTATTTATTAACATGAAGTCTAGAAATATATTTTCCTCG